CCACTGATTAGAATAGGTTCAGGAACTTAAGCCTACATCTTGGCCAAGTGTTTTGCAGCATTCCTCCGCTCTCATGGCAGACGAACTTGGCTTGCGCTGGGCAAAGCCTCCATTCCTGTTGCAACCATATTTTGATCTACACATCACAGGCCGCGCCCAGTGCCGCTCTGCTGCTGGCCTGCCTGCACTGCTTGGCAGAGTCGTGGAGCACTTGGTACTCATAGTGCGGTGGACGTCCTGGCAGTCCTGGTGGTGACGTTTGATGGCTAAGGTTGTGGCAGGGCCTTCGCAAGATGTCATTGGGGAGAGGTGAGCTGAAAGTTGCGAGTTGGATTCGATGACAAAGAATGCAGAGATCTTGTTGTTGCAGGGACAGTGGAATGCACTCCTGAGGCTCGGACAAGTAAATGTGCTGTGAGCGAGGGGAGTTGTGTTGCAACAAAATCGTAACTATATCATATATTATCATCTTATATAATACGTACTGTATGGTTGAATGGGAATATACAAAACAGCACAACCGGTTTGAACCGAAGTTGTGGCTGGATGCACTGACACGCAGGAGCAGCGAATTCGCGAATCTTGGGCAGGGCTGCCAGATTGGCTTGTGCTGAGTGAAGAGTCTTTCAACCTGTTTCGTGCAGAAATACCTGAATTGCTCTTGTTCAAGCACTAGAGGCAGAACAGATACAATGAATGCACAGGTACCAACCAATATACTACCTCCTAGTGACCAAGGAGTCAACGGAGATGCGCCAAAATCAACAATTCCTTATTCATCAGGAAACGACTGCGCTGGCGGCTGGGTAACAACTCCTTTCTCATCGGCCCAAGGATAGGGACAATAGCTGAAATCAATCTGAGCATGCTCGAATATTGGTGGACGAAAACTCGCTCCAATTGGATGTTTTTGGAGGGCTGAGAAAATTCACTTGAGCCAAGAGCTCTGACCCTTGAAGCTCCAGACCCATCGCTAGTAGGTTGGAGGCCGATCAGGTGTCTCTTTTGAGCCTTGAAACGATCACGGAGGAACAGTGTGAAATTGACAAGCTCAAGGACAGTGACCAGGGGTTACTTGGGTAACCGCCCTTACATGTCCAAGCACCGTTGAAGGGGTATGGCATTATGTGTGGTGACTGGATGGACGAGCCCTGACACGGTCAATGGAGTCATGTAAGTTTCTCGACGCACACAAAACGGAAGCTGCATCCCAGCCCATGGCGGCGAATGCCACCCGTGGAAGCTGGAAACGTACAACTCGTGCAGGCGCTTGTGATGAGGTCTCTCTATCCTTAGCACAATTGCATATGAGAAGGTCCATTCTTTTTGTCCTGGAGCCAAAACGACTTGACAGGCAGACTTCCGGTCTCCGGTGGACCTGTTACTGAGCCTGTTCATCAGGTGCAGCTTCTTGTCGAAAGGAGAGTGTCGAAAGGATTTGTCAAAGATGCCAGGCCACCACGTTGTCGATATTCTCCGAACAAACTTGGGCCAAGAACTTTCAAGATCTCTGACAAGGCGGCTGCTATGAGGGCTGTAGGCACTGTAGGCTTTACCATGTTAGAAACTATGATGACTCAGGAGGTTGAAAAGAGCATTACAAGGAACGTGGATCAGGCATTTTCAGAATAGGCTCCTACTCTTACACCACTGTAAACCCAAATACGTTTTCCCAAGGCCTCCGCTTTCCAAAGTACCGAATGTTCACCTTGATTCTTGGGCTACGGGTCTAACGTGCCGTTGGCAGGCATCACGGTCGATGCCTGTCACTGAACAGGGCAAAAGCAACCTCAGAAATTTATGTCAGTATAGCCACGATGCTTGGTACAGACCCACCGACCATGATCATGCACTATTGGTGGTGATGGGATATAGCGAATCTTGGCCTTTTACTTTCGACCAACTCGTTTGCCCTTTTCACACGTTGCTGAGACGGTGAGCATGCCCAAAAACACATGTTCGGACATGTGCACTCGCTCGGTTCGACTTGACACAGCATTGCCTTGCGAGGGGCATGGTCACCGAGAGGATTTTGTTCTTCACAATCCTCGAGGACAGGCGTTGCAGTTGCTTGCATGCATTTAATGCAAAGTGCAGCTTGGTGAGAGAACTTCGTCTCTTTGTTCAGTAGTATTGGACACCAGCAGAAACTCACATGCACATCAAGGAGCAGTAAGTGTATATTGCAGGCTTTTCAAACAAACAAGGGTCTTGAACATCTTCAGAAATCCAGACACGTCCTTCCTGGAAGTTTTGTCAAAGATGCAATCTTATTTTGGAGGGGTCTGGGCAACATGCTGAGTACTTCTTGTTTGTTGGCTGAGGTGCTCCCTATTTGAGCCCATTCCAGAACCCGGGGTGCCATCTCAGGAGACCGGATCAGTTGCGTCCGACTGCTCAAGAAGTCCTTTACGGACTGATCCTCAAACGTCCGGATGACTGGCATGGTTCCTTGCGACCGTGACGGAACCCCCGAACGCATAACGCGTTTCCTCGGCGTTCGTGGCATCGAACGAGTCTTCTCCGTGACGACTCCGTTCGGAGTCTTCGAAGAGACAGGAGAATTGGTCCGTCGAGCGACCTTGTGAGCCTTGCCTGAAAGATGACCGAATCACAGGGTCCGAAATGCGAACGCACCAGCATGGTGAGGGCACGGAGGACGCGACGGACGCGACGCAGTGCGAGGTCACTCAGCGCGGAATGAGGTCATTTATTTGCATGGCAATTCCTCCTGCCGTTTGGAAGCCTTAGCCTTGCTACCGTTGCTTGGCCCACCCGCGCATGTGGCCCGCTTCGGATCGGCCCGACACGCGCCCGCGAAGCGGATGGACTAAGGCTTCTGCTGCCCCTGAGGATCACTCTTTTTTGCTGTGATTTTGCTGGTTCTGGACTCTCAGAGGGCGAATTTGTCTCTTTGGGATGGTTTCTCAGCCGAATTGCGAAGTGCCCTGCAGCTTGGCCCAGCTTCCAAAGGTGAACTAGCGGTGAAGAGCGATGCACCTGTGGAATGATGGAAGGGTATTTAGGGTCCTTAGGGTCCTTTGCCTGGCAGAGTTACCATTGTGAGAATTTCGTTTTGTCAGCGAAAGCATTCACTCATATGTACCCTGTCCTACTACATCATTCTGCGTGTGCGAGGATGTGCGAGGTACACCCACCCAACGACAACCCATCCAACCACCAAACAAGACCAGCCAACCAACCGAACCAACCGAACCAACCGAACCAACCGAACCAACCGAACCAATCAGCTACCAACAAGCTAACGACAGGATCAACCCAACCGAAGGACACCCACCTGGTCAAACCCAGCAAACCCCTTTTGGTGGTCAGAAAAACATTCGGAACCTCTTTTCAGCCCCAGGTTCGAACGTGATGATTTGGCCACCTGCATCCAGCACCTTCGTTCCGTGCGAAACGTGGCGCGCATCGCTTTGTGGGGTCGATCCATGGGAGCGGTCACAGCGCCTCGGCCAGCCGCGGCAGTCGGGGCGCCGAACACGTGCTGCTGCGTCCGTGGATCGTTCGGCAACGATATGCATGACACACACATATATATATACATTAATATACAGTATATATTTATATACATACTTATTTATTTGTAAAGTATATATATATATACTTAAGTCTTTCTTTTTTTTTCGTTGAATGCGGTCTTGGGGTCTTCTACACCTCACATGATTTTCGGGGATTGATCGAACATGGACGCAGTGAACATGATCGCTCCTCGCATGATTGATCGAGCATGGCTTGGAAGCGAATGATCGAACAACTCGCTGGTTGGATGGGTCTCCGGATCGAGGCGCTTCTTCATGCTGATCGAGATCCTTCCATCGCTGGCTTGGTGCTGGACAGTCCGCCTCCAGGCTGCACGATGGAAGGGAAGGAGGATGAGTGGTGCAGTCAGTTTCTTTTTCCTAGCGAAAGGTGAATAAGGAACGCGGAACGCTTACTGAGACTAAGAATTAGTTCTTGACCAAAAGGGCTGTCTCCCATGTGTCCTACATGATCTACTGTCCAAAAGACTGCTCAGGTTTGTGTCTCTCAAAGAACTTGCAATGGAGCTGGCCAGCAGAAGGGTGTTGATCTCAGTTCCACTTCGCTGCTAAAAGTCTCGCCCATTTCGACCAGTGTGTTCCAGATTCGTGGACATGATGCGCACAGCAGGTGGCAAATAGTTCGCATTCTACACCCCAAAGCACATTTCCCATTTCATTTGCCTTATGTGATACATTGAGATTCTGTGTACCTGTGCCATCCTGTGCCTGTCCTTTCATATGGAAACCATCCTCCAACAGCATGTTCTCCAATAGAATCTTGTTCGAGGCAATGATGCCATCGTGGGCAACACGTTTCTGAGCTGATGTCCAGAGTCTGTTGAGCTCTTTTTGCGTTCGCTAGTGCCATTTGTTCAGTGACAGACATTCAGCTAGTGCACCTGTAAACGTGTCTTGAGATAGACTTTACTCAGCTTTTTTTCAAGGTGCACACACCTGTACTTTGGAACCTGAAGAAGCCAAGGTGCAGTGTTGTCAGCAGCTCGTTCTGCTATCCGTGCACGCGCAGGGTTTGACTTTGAGGATTGGGAGCAAAGACTTGTCCGAAGAACAAAAAGTAGATTAGCTGAGTGACACGAAGACATGGAAGGACCTTGATGGCATGCAACATGTTAGCCAATCCTTCATGCCCGCTCTGTTCCTTGACTGCATGTGGTGCAAAGCTGCGGCTCCAACCCCTGTGTGAGAGCTCCTGTCGTGAGAGTCGAGGTTTGTCGCAGCCAGTGGTGACGACTTCATCAGCCCTAGCCACGCTGACTCTCGGAGCTTTGAATTTTCGCAGTTGTTCGCATTCCAGAAACATTCTCAACACTGTCCATATAATTGACATTGAGTCTAAATTCACCTCGGTTGTTGCTTGCAACTAGTGAAACTTCAGAGCAGCTCTGGAATGGAACCGTGATGGGAGTGATGCGTTGCTTCGGCCGACCTGGTCTATCCTCACACCTAAGGAGCGTTTATTTGATGCGTACCAAGGGGAGAAGGAGCTTTACATCACAGAGGGTGACCACCACTCATCCCGCTCGCTGACATGTAGGTACACCGTGTGACGCCATCTCCCGTGTTCACGGCATGACGCACGGTGCCGTTCTGCGGAATATCTCGTGCGAATTTGTGAGATCGGAAGGCAGAAGGCGACACTGTTCCTCTGCAGAAGCTTCCATTCACCGCGTTTGGTGCCTTGGTGAATGATTTGACCATGGACTCCATGGACCTTGTCGTAACTTTAAAACATGAGATGCTACCTGTATGCTGCCTATTGTGATTCCAGCCCATTCTTGCACCTTTGCCACTGTATTTCTTGCCTCACTGCAGGATGCACTTCTACGGATCCATGCAGGTGGTGCGGTTGACATCTTTGGCGTTCCGATCGTGCCAGACTGGCAGAAATCTGGAGGCCACTAGGGTGGCTAGGGAGATGTCGCGGCGGTAGGGCGAACAGGAAGGGTGGCTAGGCCCGAAATAGACGAACCACAATCCTAGAGATGTTCGTGATGTACTCCTATGATGTGTTTCTATTCGGCATTCAATTGAATGTTTTCTTTGCATTTTTGATGTTCACGGACATAGGTCCCATGTAGTGTTTCGCATGAGTTTGTCCTCTGGGTCCAGGCTCTGAGGACCTTGACTTTGAAGGCTCTGAGATTTGCAGACAGGCTGGGCTGGGCATGGCTGTTTAGATGAAGAACATATTGCAGGCATTGCAAGAAAGTGATCACCAGATTCTGTTTTATGGTTTGGTTGGTTGATAGCTATGCTGTTGCGTTCCTAGTGGCCAAGAAAGAGATTCTCCGCGAGACACAGAAGTTTGATCTTGTGCAAACAAATGTAAGCTTCTTGGAGTTTCAAGCAGAGTGCAAAGCCACAAATCGATGACATGCAAAATCACAGCACTGTTCCTGGACCTTGCGATACTCGCAACGTGTCAGATGCGCATGGTGCCTGCCCTTTGTGAGATGAAGTTGGCTGCGGGAAGACGTTGCCAACGTCCTCTCCTGCTGACAGCCACGATGAAGTTGCCTGAGAAAGCGGAGGTCAGCTGAGTGCTTTTTCGTGACGCAGCAACTGATGGAGTCAATGGTCTGTTGGACACCTTGAGCACATGGGTCCAAATTCGTAGTGAGCACATGGGGTTTGAGCGTGAAATGCAGGCTGGCTTCTTTCTCCGCTTCGTTCCGGCAGACGTGCTAGCGGGAGAAACAGAGGAAATTGGTCAGCCGTGCTGCTTCGTGCTGTCCTGCACGCAAGAGCTTTGCATGGCAACGGAGTTGCAACTAATATATATCCTCCTCCTCAGAACCCCAGGCTCCATAGAAACCGCCACTTCGGATTTGAGCTGATTGCCTTGAGTTTTGCTTTTTGTGTTGCGACTGTGTAAGATCTTTTTTTCCCCAAAGTTCAGAGTTTTTCTTTCCCTTTGATCTGAGGTCTCACGCGTTCATAGCGATACACTGCGGACCCTGTCCGTAGGACCAGGGCTTTGTGACACGACAGAGGTCTCTCTAAGCCTGGATAGTTCAGGCACCTTGACCTTTCGAAGCTCTTCAAGTGAGAACAATCCTCTCTTGTCAATGAGCGTTGGGACCTTCCGTGGAGAGCTCACGCTTTGGCAGATGCTGCTTCGGGGTTCCTCCCGCTGGAGCACCTTTGGTGACGTGAAAGTGGAGGACAGTGAAGCCACATTGTGCGAGCACCTGGGCGATGCAGTTCTACGGCTGAGACATCTAGGTCATGCCGATGGAGTGGTGGTGCTGAACCGCGACTCAATATCTCGACCTCAGGGTGACCATGGGCTCTCGGATGTAAGATCAGTCCAGAAACAGAGCCCTTCTCCAGACCCTGAACTGCACCTTGGTATCCACATGTTGCGAGGAGGACAGTTGAGCTTCAGGTGTTGAGATGTGTTGAGAATTGCTTCGTTTTTTCTTTTTCCCAAGGCAACGAGTGACCTTGCTGGAAAGCATTTGGAAACCGGAGGCAGGGAGGTTCCATGCAACGGTTCCATGCATCGGTCGCATTGGCAGAGACGGCATCGGTCGCATTGTGTCAGGTTTTAATTGGATGGCGAGTAAGAGTCGACGGCTTTGGTGAGGGGATCGTGACTGCGGTTAGAAGACGCCGACTGCGATCGACACTCTTCTCCATCTCAGGCCATTTGATGCTGTTTGACTCTTCTTTTTCTCCACCTTAGGGACTTAGCGCTGCTTCTTGATTCAGGCACAGATCCCTCGAAGCTGCTTCAGCAAACGGAGATTCCTCTTCATAGGCAAGGGTCCAGATCCCAAAGCTGCGCTGGCTGTCCTCGAAGAACACGGCTGTTTCATGTGCAGAGAAACACAAGGTCGATGCTTCCTTGGGTGAATGGCCATAGGTTCGACCTTGTGAGGAAAGAGTGATGATCTTTTCCTTTGTACATAGGCGAGGCCGATGCCACGCCACTGGTCCCGTGTTACGGAGGCTTCGGTCTCCGTCTCGTGTCAAAGGATTTTTATGTGTTCAACCGAAGGCTGGCCGATGGGGAAAGATGGGAAAGGAACTTGAAATTCGGTCAAACATTCAAGGAAGATATCCCATTCACGGCCTCGATTTCGCTCGGAAAGATGCCATTTTGACACGCTCCCGGGATCCGGCCCAACATTGGTTGCGTCTCAACAAGAGATGCGAAAACCAGATGTCAGAATGGCTGTGAAAAGGACCACAGACTTGCTTTCATCACCAGGACATACCAGGACGTTCTTTTCCTCAAGATTGACTCTGTGTCCCAAGACTATAGCCCCTCCTGCACAGTCGAGGCCCAACGTTTAGGACACTTCTCTGGATTTGGCACAAGAGCACAGAGCTCAGATAAATCTCAGGAGTCAGGAGTGGCGATCCCCTTTGCATGGAAACTATAGAGTCAACTAAGTAGCAACTACTAGTAACTAGTTGATTGAACCGAACCCTGTGACCTGTGCCCGCTAGAAATGCCACACAAAGAACCCTGAGCCAACAGGCCTTGCACAAGCTGCACGCACTCTTTGCAACAGCCGTCCGTATGTCTCCAGAAGGCGGGCAAACGCCAGCTGCGGACTCGTCCGAGTCCACGATGGCTTCATTGCTAGGTTGGAGGCCATCGCTAGGTTCGGCCATTGCTATTAGGTTGGAGCCCAGCCCCTTTATTAGCAAAAGACGTAATCTTCCTTGTTTATGAAGTAGGAACTTTTCTATTTTGCCAGGCACGCCAGCTGCGGAGTTGCTCAATGCAAGCTTCCTTCAGGTGCGCTGTCAGAAATGCGCATGGAGCATGCTTGGTCGCAAAAGTTGAAAAGGTTCCTCAGAGTTTCCACTGAATCATTCAGGTATATGCAGCAGAAGCCTGTGCCGATGAGACTGGGGTGTGCAATCTTAGATAATACATTGCCACAAACAAGGTCCTTCAAATGAAGGAACACAGTTTTTAGTAGCCAAATCCTGCTCAATCACATGCAACCGTTCAGTCAACTCGACGTTTTTTCAACTGGAAGTTCTTTACAACAGAAGAAAGGAAGCAACAAAAAGAGGCAAAAAGACATGGAGTACTCCGGCTGGTGAAAACAAACAAAAGAACTCTCATGACATGCGTGATGCGGCATGCATGGTGGTGTGAGCATGCATGGGTGAGATGAGGTGTCCCTTCTTGCAGCTTTGGCCTCTGCGTCCAGCTGCCTCGAACGTTCCTGCGCCTTTGCATGGCAGCTTGGTCTAGTTCTTCGCCGGGTATTGATAAAGGGAGGAGATGGTACCAATGGTTGGTCGCCTCTTGATTTGGGTGGCCTTGGAAAGCATTCCTGCATCCACCAAAACATGGTCAGTTGAAGTCATCGACCATGGTACTACCTTCAAGTCGAGTCCGACCATGGTCCCATCGACGGGACCATGCTTCGGGTGACGAGCTGCTTTTGCGAGGCTTGCAATGGCCCTTGCCAGGGCACCGCTGGTTTCGGGTGCACAAGGTGCAAATACCGAGGCGCCCGTGGGGGGGCGCTGGGTCCCGCTGGGTCCCGCTGTGTGCGGAACAGGGTCCGAAGGGTTCCGGGTGAAGCACCATCTCCGGGTCCTTGGCAGGCTGAGCGGAGGCCCTCGCCTCAGCTCGAAGATATACTGTTTTTGTTTTCTGCCAAAAATACTAGAGATGGAGTCAAACCTCAAAGCTAGTGGCTTCGTGAACAATCCTTTTTTTTGGAATGAGTATGCACGAAATCCAGATACAGTGTGATCCACCGGAGTCCGGAGTGCCTCCATCTGTGTTTCTTCAAACTTGGCAGAGACCAGTCCAAATGGAACATGAGGCTGGGACCACTTCGCGCAAGTCAGTCAAATCCCGAAGATGATCCGTCCAAGGTGCATTTGCATTTGCATCTCTCTCTCTCTCTCTTTTTTGAGACACAGGCAAATCGGATCGACATGGGAAAAGAAGTGTCACGGAATGTCCTCGTGCAGGATTTGACCGTCTTGACCATCCTCTACCTGGAAAGGGTTTCTCCAGCAGAGTATCTCAGCACAGCACACCTGCTTCGGGTGAAACATGGTGAAACTCACCGTGCGCACAGCACCGTTTTTGCAGGCCGTGGTACTTGACTTGTTTTGCCATAGGCCAGTGATCAGAAGGATGCCTTGCAGCTGAACTCCCTTCCCAACTCCGGCAAACGTCCCAGTTTCTTAAAGACAGCGTGTAGATGCACGTAGACATGTCGCTGTGGTTTGCACCGTCATTGTCTCTGATAGCCAAGGCTCAAAGAACCAGCAGGCTCGTGCCTCAGATCTCTTTCCATGCATTTCTTGTGGGGTTAGGACCTTTAGGAGAACCGTCTTCATCTATTTTGAGACGAAACAACATCGGCAAGTTTCAATGCCCGAAAGCTGCAGGCAGGGATTCTCTCCTTTCTCAAACATCCTTTGGTCGCAGCCACTTGCTTGGAGCAATTGGTGAGCTTGGTGAACTTTGGCAGATGCTGATCTGATACCGAAAGAGACTCAAAGAACCAAAGAGCGGATTGTTTGCCACGCCACAAGGACATCATCCCGAAATCAGTGAATGTGTTGAGATCTCAGCTTGCACACGAAATGGGGTTGCAAGCGAGGTAACGATCCAGCTTTAGTGGACAATGGGATGGTGCGTTTGAGCGGAAATTAACCGCAACAGTTTGATGAGAGAAACAGGTTGAGTGAAGAAATGGGGGTTCTGCCCTTGTCCCGGCAGAGCTGCTCGTTACGTGATGCTGGGCACTTGAAGGAGTTCTTGTATGTCTTTTTGGCAGTCTTGAATTGTTCAATGGAGATCGCAACTGGAAAAAGCCAGACGACGACGAGTCACTGTGAGACGACGAGTCACTGCGCCTCAAGTTCGTCAAGCTACTTAGGCCTGGGCTTTGGCCAGCTGGGGACGTGGCGTGCTCCCCTCGAATGCACCACGTGGCTCAGAGTGGCGTGACTTAGCTTCCAGGCCGCTCATCACTTGCTCTCGCTGCTGCAGTGTGCAAAGGCAGGACGGTTGCAATCATGGCGTAAGCGACTTCCGAGAGAAAAATCAAGGAAGACTCAGCAGTTGAAGGGTTCTATAGTTCTATAGTGTTTCTATTGTATTTGTAATGCATCCAGGTAAGACTGCACTCCGTGCACGAAAGAAGGGCTCCACTTTCTTTTCCAATTGTTAGAGGCTTTGGCCACACATCTTCTTCGCGAAGGGCCGGGTGCTGCCAAGCTACCGGACTGCTGACACAGTCGATTCAGTCCTTCCAGTCGATGGTTTCAACCACCTGGTTCACCTGCCACGTGGGCCAAAACAAAGCACAAAAGGGAGTTTAGACAGCAGAGATTCGAAACAACAAGCAACTGTGTGTGACTGAGCATGATGGTTCACACGTTCCCTTCAAGCGACCGATGGTGTTTTGCCCCCGGGCCCCTGGGCACCTCGGATGGTAGATGGCGGCTGCGGCTTCTGCCTTTGTTCTATCATATCGATTTGAAGCAGACGAAGAATGACGAAGAGATCTGACTTTGGTTTCACACGCTGAAGCCTGTTTCCGTTGTGATGGCGTTTGATTTCTTTGAAGCTGTGTGCTACGTGTACCTGTCGCCGGCGTTGAGAATCTGGCGGACCTGCTTTGAAAACGCCCATTCAAATGCTTGGTTCAAATGAACGTCCACCACATTCCGGAAGCCCGATGCAAATGGAAAATTGGACAGCATAGATACATAATAAGTACTGTATAAACACTTAAACACGAGGTGGATGACAGTCCTTCAACCCTCAAGTTCCTTGCCGTTTCGTTCAGGCATAGGTATCAAAAAAAATAAAAAGAGCATCAAAAAACAAATAAAAACACGATCAAAAAAAACATAAAAGCGAATCAAAAAAAATCTTCCTTGATAGGCCTCTTCTGCTGCTCTCCTGGCCTTGTGGTCTGCGGGTCCTCTGGTAATGTGGTCCCTTGGTCCTTTGGTCCCTTGGTCCTCTGGTCCACTGGTCCTTTGGTCCCCTGGTCCCTTGGTCCACTGGTCCCCTAGTCCTCCGGTCTCCTGGTCCTCTGGTCCTGTGGTCCGCTGGTCCCCTGGTATCCTAGTCCTTCTGTCTCCTGGTCCGCTGGTCTTTTGCTGTCCTACGGCGCTCGTCTGTCGATCTCCTGGTCCCCTGCTTGCGCAAATAGAGGCTTGATTGCTTTCTACTAGAGGCAGCTCCGTGGGAAGAAAGTAGGTACCCAACGATAAGGTAGCCGTCCAGTCATTGAGTAGCCCTACTCGAAAAATGGTTCACCAGCTTGGTGAAAAAGACCCTGTACGGCTGCGACCGCAATGCACCCATTAGAAATAGACTGGTCCACCACATCTTTTTCCTGAGGAGATTCCCATCCAGGCACCTTCCGATGCTGCTACACCCATTCCAAACACTTCTCTGCTCTGAGCGCTCTGACAACGCCATGTAGGGCCTAACTTCGTGTGAACGCCGTGACTACTGCTACTGCTACCACTACTACTACTACTCCTCCTCCTGCTGCTGCTGCTGCTACTGCTCTGCTACGCTGGTGCTGCTGCTGCTGCTGCTGCCGCTGCTGCTACTGCTACTGCTACTGCTACTGCTACTGCTACTGCTACTACTACTACTACTACTACTACCCCAACCATCCTCAGTGGGCTGGAATATATTTTTTTGATTACCTTTTTATTTTTTTATTGATCCCCGTTGAATAATTTTTTTGATTCTATTTTTATTTGTATTTTGATCCCTTACCCCGTTTCGTTTGTGTATTTTACTGCACTACATTGTGTACACTTGTATGTAATATATATATATACATACCTCGATACCTCGTAATGAACGTTCGGCTCCAGTTAAAAAGGTGTCTACTGTTGGCTGTTTGCCTATAAACATAGGTTATCAGCCGTATCTTAGGCCCGTAGCATTACTCCCCGTCATTTGCCGCCATGGACATGTCGCTGGACCCAGCTGCACTTGCGAGGCTGGCGGCACCGTACTACGGTACGGATGTGCGTGGGAGCACGGATGGAAATCCCGCCGCTATTCACTTACCGTTGATGGATCCTAACGTCTCATCTACAGACAATGCGTCCGTATGTCAACTGCCTGAGTGGTGAGCGGGCGGGAATGCCGCGCCGATCTTCAATCAGGCCAATGTTTTCATTTGTGCAGACACCACCTGCAATGGTTGCCGAAATGATGAGGCAAGCGTTTCAAAGTCAGCAGCTACAGGGGCAGTGAGCAGAATTAATGCTCGCAGCGAACAGGCTCTGTGAAGAAGCTGATCAAGCCTTCAGTGAGAACGAAGAGATGAAGATCCAAGCAAGAACACTCATCAATGCCACTGAAGTCGGATATCAGACTATGCAGGAACAGGCTCAATCCCAGTTCATGGAGATGTCCATGAACCATCGTCAGCAGATCCCACCTCGAGATGAACCTCGCGCAACAACAGCAAATTTCGTTCGAGATGCAGAAGCGCCTTGCCGAAACTGAGAGCGTCCAGTCACAGCTCCTGAAGGAACTTCGAGAATTGAAGGGCCAGAAGGAAGCAATGCCTGGCGTTCCGGAAGGTACTGCCGAACGTCATGAGTTCATCCCAGCAAATGGTTTCAGTGGTAATGATCCAAATGCTCCAATGGATGCCATGTCTTTGAAGACCGCGGATTTGTTCGGTACTCCATCAATGAGGTCTCAAGTCCATGTTTTCCGCTAATGTTTTTCGGACAGCGAGCCCTTGGAATGATGGGTACGGGTCTCTCAATATTAATGGGGTGACAACCCTGGAGTGGAGGGTCTTCATCACATGACCAAGGAAACCTTGGATGCCCGGGAATTCCGCTTCTCAAGATGCCAAAGTCGGGAGGGGGGAGACGATGGAAGCTCGAACAGATGTTGGGGGGTAAGAGTACCGCCAACATCCTTCCCGCAGCAATTGGAAGATAAGGGCCATAGGTGAATTTGCACGCAAGGTTGACGCACTCAAGGAACAGGAATTCATGAAGGGTCGCCCGGTCCGAGGAAGACAGGTAAAACATGGCGCCTCGCGCTCCCTGAGTGACTTGTTCAATGTTCGGATGAAGGGCGACAACCTCAAGACATTTTTGGCCAATTGGGATTCCGTTGTAACTCACTTGCCTGAACAGACAGTCCTGAAGACTTGGTTCTACCAACAAGTGAAGAATCACAGGGCAATCGCCCATGACATCGAAGAGTATCGCCGGGTCGAAGAGGGAAGTTCAAAGCATTGTTACAAGTTGCAGCTGTTCATAGACATCTCATGAGGGAAAGGCTAGAAGACAATCGGGGACAGATTGCCGTGCTGTGGGTCTGAAGGGTAAAGACAATTTGCCAATTCGTAAACCGTGGACAGTTGCCGCTAATCATGAAGGTATAGGGTCAGCTTTGAGCAAACTTCAGTGCAAGTGCGATTCCAGTCATGCAGAAGGTAAAGGAAAGACGGGTGCAAGTCACAAAGCGTTCCGCAGCCGCGAATCGAGCGTTCAAGCACTTGCAGTTGCGTGCGCCGCTGTCTCATCGCTTGTGGATATGAACCGCCATTGGGGAAGTGGGCCACATTGAGCTTGGATCCGGTCGTGCCCCGGCTGGCAATGCCGATTGGTTGGCGAATTGAAGCCATACGACGGTAATGGGCTTCTGGGTCCTCGCCAAATGCCACCATGACACATGAGGCTCGGAGGCCCAAACACACACGCTCCCGCAACGCGGCCCCTCACCGACTGAGAGTGAGCAATGAGACTGAGGTCCAGGATGGAGTGGGGGCATGGGCTGGACAAGATCGTCGCGTGACAATTTTCACAATGGCGTGGCGGATCGAAAAGTCGTCGTGCTGGTCCTTTGGGCAGGGAATGATGTGTACGCCACACCGACAGTTGACCCGTGTGAGGGAGGGCGTCGGAGGCATCGATAGAGCCATCTGAGGACTTCGATCTCCCCAAGGCCTATAACAGGTATCTCGCAGGAGTATCACGCCCAGCTCGAGGAGCACAAGAGCGAAGACCCGCAATGCCACAACCACATGCTAAACAACGTGAAGATCAACCGAGGGAGTTTCAAGGTCGGAGTGGTTATTAACCTCATGAGGTCGGCCACTCGACTCACGCGGATCGTCGACGAGCTCGCGGTCGCCCAAGCTCAAGCGGCCCGGGAGGGTCCGCCGACTGAACTCACTGGCTTCACGCGTGGGCAAGTGCGCATTATCCCCAATGAGGAGATGTGCGGATGGGCCGGAAAGGGCAAGGGCAAAGGAAAGATGGGGCAGAAGGGCACAGGGAAGGGCAAGTACCGAGACATCCAGAATTCTAACGTGCTTCTCCGTTGTGTGCCACGGCTCTTCCTGACGGAACTCATCGGTGTCCTTACTGCAGCGCTGATCTGCAAGTTTGGACTGACGCCTGATCCGTCTAGCCCGCCTGCGTGGAGGAAACGGCCAAGATGACAGACCCGATTCTCGCCCTTGATCAGCTGTCCACGAGTCCTTCCGAAAGATCAATCTGGTGAAGGATACTTCAAAAGGGGGACAGCAGAGAGGAGCGAAGTCTGCGTCCGGGTTGATCAAGCCCTGCATGTGGAAGGCCAAGTCCTTGAACCTGTTGGGGCCAGAGGCACGCCTGGAAGTGGATCCAGTGTTCGCATACAATTGCGCGACTGACCCATTGACACATGGATCTTTAATTTATGCACCATCTTCGCCAATCCAGGCAGAAGCGTGCAAGAGAGAAAGCGCGCCTTGGGCGAGCAGGAACGTGTTGCATCGTTGCAAGCTCGATCTGCTTCATTCCGAGCATTGGACAGGATCCAGGCAGCCAGGTCAGTAGAAGGATGAGCGATGAGTCGTTCATCTGCCACCGCAACAGGTTTTTTAACTTGAAGCAATTTGCAACGTGGTGTTCAGTTGCCAAAACCAGAAAGGGGTCCGTCGTCGCTGTGGAGGGATGGGGCGACTTGGAACGTGCGCCGGAAGGCGAGACGCCGTACAGATCCTTGAAGAACTGATGGACTTCGCAGAGCGGGGAAACTGGGTCCATGCTTCCGTTGGAACAGACTACTCGGATGTCACCATCTCTTCAGGAAGGTTCCCTGAGGTGAAGCTGACAGAACGGAGATCCACTGCCAATGAAAGCAGGAAGACAGCTTTTGATCCGAGGCCCAAGCAATGCGGAAAGGATGCATTGAGCGCGGCTCGCCTGATCATCGTGCGCGAGATTGTCCGATTGCCAAGGCAAAGGCCAGAGCTGGAACCATGGTCCGATCGCTCCTGGCAGTCATCAGGATCTTGGTGGGGACGCTCCAACCAGTCCTCATGGTGGCAGGAGCCATCATCGTCCTCATCGAGCTCGGCCT